TCTTTTGTTACTTTGCCTTCCTCCCCAACAACACATTATTCCATTAAACTTTAAGTTGGCAAAGCACATTACCTGATGAAGTTTTAAACCCTCTCTTAGCATTATTTTCTGCAACAGGCCCAAGCAGGCCTTGGAAGTTATGAATAGAATGGTAGAATAACAATGTACTTAGATTTCAGGAAAGAACAATCAAATAGAAACTAAACATCATATAAAACTTCCTTCAGTTACATGTTTATTATGAATTCAAACACCTGATTTAAATCACCTCCTTTACATTAATAACAATTACCCCTTCTGGTATAATTCACATTCACTTAGTGATTACTTACTGACCACCTGCTACACATTAGACACTGCTATGGGTTGAAGGAGTATATAACAAAAACCAAAATTCAACGTTTCTTTCAAGAGGCTTATAATCTTGAGAAGGAAATCAGATATACATACACATGATTGTTGAATGCAGGTTTTGAGAAATAGAAGACTAAAAAATGACTCCAAGTTTCAAGCATTAGCAACCAAGAGAAGAATGTTATCAATGTAATAATTAAGGCATTCAGTAGAAGAACCAGTACAAAGCAAATGATGATGAGCTCAGATAGAAGTGCACTGAATTTTCTGTGGCAATTAGGCACCCAGAAGTAATGTCCATTGAAAGGACATTAGAATTTAACAGAATATCCACATTAGCACAACCTAATCTAATCTCACATTTAACTAGAAAGGAAAATGCTAAAATTGGAAGGACAAAAAGCATTTCTTCCATTGTTCTTGTATAATGCCTAAAATTCCCATTATAAGACATTTATTCCCTTGTTTAAGACATTGTCTTCCAAGGATTTCTTTTTGAAAAGATCAGATGAGTTATCCATAGTACAAAAAACAAGATGGTGTCCTGTCTGCCTAAGTTGGGTAAGGGTATTAAGTCTGGATGAGACACCACAGAAACTGGGGAAAAATGAGATTTCTGGCCATTTGCACTTAGGATGAACAACAGGAAGGGAAGCATCATAGACATATTTTACCTTCTTATTATGCCTATAGCAGGGAATCAAGTGGGATAAAACATGAAAATTTCTGAAATTACATATAACAGTTTCCAGAACTGCACTTCTTCACTTTAAAATGGGAAAGTTCAACTTGATCACTAAAGTATAGCTTTTTTATTTATCAATTTAAAAAGTAAAATTTGTCTATACTTCTATACTTGTCTTCTTAATTTTAACTACACTTCATTGATAAAATGAAAATATAACTGTTTAAAAATAGGCAAATTAATTTTAAAACATCATCTAAGTTGAACATTAAATATGCTGGACTTCTGATATAATGACCAGTCTTTTAATCAGCCCTATTGAAATCTCCAGTAAGCCTTCCTTAAACTAGATGTTACATCTCGAAGCTCATCTATCCATTTACAATGCATGCCACTGCTAAAGAGGGGAGGGTAATAGATACTTTAATCTCTGTAAAACAATAAACACATTACATACATGGAAGGGTGTGTCTCAGCAGAAGTATGAGAGTAAAATTTCCTAGACTAACATTTAGAGTCTTCCATGATCTATTTCCTACTTACCTGCCTTTCTAATCTAATTTCCCTAATGCAGAGTAGAGGCAAACTCACAGCTCTGCCAATTAGCCATGTATATTATCATCTCCATGAATTTGTGTTTTTCCTTCCTGTTACCAAAAACATCCTCCATCTGTGTCAAACTTTGTGCTTTTCCTTCTAGGATCAGTTCAGTCCCCTTTTCCATGTAGTCTTCTCTCTGTAGTGACTTTTGGCAATATCCCTTATCTTTACCTCAATGCTGACAATAATGACACTTACACTAGTATTCAGGGTTCCTTATGCACGTATTAATCTAACCATCTTGATACTTAATATAGCTACATGTGCTATAATATAACAAATATTTCATTTCTACATTAATAATATAGCATGTGAATATTAATTTATATAATCATATATTATATTAATATGATTAACATAATGGACAATCTTGATTGTTTATGTATATAAATTGTCTCTCTGTCCAACTAGATCATAATCCCTGGAGGCTGTGTTCTCTAAAGATAGAAAATATGTAAGACGTTTGCCTCCGTGCTGGATCCATAAGAGTACCAACAACTATATTTATGAAGCTTATTTTGTTAGATTCTTCTTGATTTACCTAAAAAAAAGTCAACATTTTTATACTGAAAGCTACAATACCTATTAATCGATAAATAGAAACAGAAGCTAATTAAGAATATACCACATTTATCCTAATGAGAGTACAAAGAAATGGAACCAGAATTATAAAAACTGCTGACAGTTCATTTTAGTTTAAATGAAAATCTCCTCTCATGACTAAACAGATTCATTGATTTTTAGTTCCTCAAAGGCACTAAATTCAATTTAGTGTTGTTCCAGTGTAGAAATTAGTTCATATAAGTACTATACTATCATGAATGTTAAGTTAATCAGACATTTGATGAGCTTCATAAAAACCAAAATGTGGCTTTATGTTTTTTAAGAGAATCCAATATAGTCATTTTTAGTCAGTCTCTTCACTTCTTTCTTCAGACCCCCTTCTAAAGCTGCAGAAGATAGCAAGTGTTCAGATGGTGGGTTTGTGTGTGTTAAAGGGAGGGAGTATGTTGTCTCCACCATTGGTCATTCCCAACTCCCATAAATCTAGTCTTTTATCTAGGAGTGTTAAATTAAGCCAATACAAATTTTCCAAAGCCAAAGTAGAAAATATTTGTTTTTGATATTCTTCATTTCCTCCTAATCTAACCAATTCATCTCCTTAGAGCTACCTCCCCATCTCCCTGATCACCAAAAGCCTAGAAATTAAAACAGTAAATAATTCCCCTGAAAGGCCCCTTCCTGGTGTGTCTAAAACAAATTTAATCTTCTGTTTGGGCATTTTTAACACCACGAGCATTCTTACTTAGATTAAATCATGGATCTCCCTGGTCTCCAGGCATGCCTAGACATGAACCATATAAATGCAATGAGATACTTGGAGTTTCTCTAGTAACTGTAGGCCAAACCAACAGCAACCCTAAGAACAAGCATTCTTTTTTATTTTTTTTTCCAAACAGAACTAGGACACACACATTTTTTGGTCATTTTTCAGTTGCACTACATACAAAATAAACTGCATTTTAAAAAAATTATTCCAGTAGACCATGCATCTTGACTACTTTTATATATATTTTTATTAACTTTGAGGAAATGTTTTAAAAATCTAACTTTCAAAGCACCTGCCACAACGATTGCTTTGGATGGCAGCAATCCAGCTCAGGTAAGACTATTTAAGATGCAACTAATAATTTCTAAAAATCAATTAGAAAGAAGAATTCAATATTTTATTGGGTAAAAATGACTAGCAATTTGAAAGAACAAGACTGTTTCTATATATTCACAAAATCCATAGGTCTGTATATTGTCTGTGGATAGAGGTTATTTCACACCTCGTTTTATTTATATATGTATATTTGAATGAGTGTAAGTAATTTATGTAATATGTGCTATTGTGCACATATTCTCCCAAATATATAGGATGAATGAATACAAAATAGCTATTTGCAAATGAACTGTCCTTTACAATTTAATTTTACAATTAATTTTTACAATTAACATTTTCTATTTCACTTTGATTTCTTACTCTTCACTTTGGTGTGTGTAGAACAATCTGTGCTTTTGGTAAAAAAAAATGACATCTTTCATATTCAAAAATAATGCTATAAACCTACTCAAGCTCATCTCCTTGTATTAATAGTTTGAGTTTGGAAATAGAATGATCTGGATGGCCTTGCCCCTATTCATATTATTAGGGGCATCTTTGAATTTATTTGCTGGTTTTAGAAAATCAACTTATAGTTAGTAAGTTTTCCTTTGAGGAAAATAATTTAGAACTAATCCTTCAGAATCAACAATGAGTGCTTTATACTGAGTGAATGATGATTATATTCTTGGGGAGAGGAGCTACTTCCAATTGAGTCCCAAAAAGTGTGTAATCAGAAAATATTCCTCATCCCCTCCTGATTCTTCCATTAAAGGAAAAGAGAGGAAAGAGTAACTAAACAATAATTGCCAGAGATCACCCAGAAATTGTCTGTAATTGTCCCCTTTGCCCAATGTATTCCAAATACAAACACAACCACATCAACTGTAAGAATAGAAAAATTTAACTGTCACAAGCCATTGTTTCTCAGATCTTCACAGTCCTCACCCTGAATATCCAAATTTACTTTTGCTTCAAGGTCCTACTCAAATCTCACCTCCTCCATGAACTTGCTCTGACATCCCCCTCTTCTATTTCTACTAACAAAGCCTACCCAGTTTAGTAATTTTTATGTATTGTCTTGAATGGTAAATAATGTTTCTTCACTTGATATCACTGCCCTAGACTATATAAATGAAGAGTAGAATAAACGTCCTTAGGTGCTGAACATTTACTAAATATATGCTGGAAGTAGGAATAGTTTTGCCTAAGGCTAACCTCGAGAGTACAAAGCTGTAGTTTTAATCTCAAAAGGACCACACTTTGCTCTAACTGACCAACTGACTGGCTCACTATTTGACTAGGAGATCCAGCCCTCACCTCATTGGGCAGGCTTCTAAGAGTGAGCTCAAACCGCCCAAGGAACACGAGGTGCAGGTGGAACTCTCAAAGGCAGCCAGAGGCCATTGAGGCCTACTTCTATTTAGAAAGCTCGACCCCACGTCTTGAGGTACCTGGGAAACTCTTCTCCGAGCAGAACATGAAAACTGGGGTGTTGCGGGGCAGACACACTTGTGGGGCTTCTTGAGGATTAGGAGAGGGGGGAAGGAGCTCTTGACCCTCCTGCTATACCAGGAAGAGAAACTGGTCAAGAATCTGTGCCTCCACCTCAGAGGCCTCTTCTCCAGGCCCCTGGGGGCCGCCACTGTCCCTCCCCCCGCGCCCCTCCCCCACCTCGCGCCCGCCCCGCCCCCTCGACCCGCGGGGTTCCAAGGGCGGTTGGCCGGCCACGGCCACGGTCACTCCGCCACTGGGAGCTGCGCCGGGTTGAGAGAGTGACTCGAGGGTTTGGCCTGGGGACTGAAGAGAAGTTTTCTGAGGCGGGCCATACCCGGCTTGAGGGGAGAGACGCAGAGGAAAGGGTCCCTGAGGCGTGGGCCCTGGGAGGTGCGGGAGACGGCGGGGAAGGGAAGCTCAGCGCTCCCGGGGTCACCTGGGGTCGCGGCGCGGCCTTGGGGGATGCAGGACCCTCCGGCAGCGCCGCCCCCCGGCCGTTTGTTGCGGATGGTGGGCGCGACCCGGCAGGGTGGCCAGGAGCCTGGAGGCGTCCTCGGGAGATCTTCGCCTGGGCCTCGCGCCCCGCCACTGTCGGGCGTCCGCTGGGAGAAATGGGGGCGGATGGGGGGCCCGCCTGCTCGGGGACACCACCTTGACTTTGCAGACGTCCGGGAGCTGCAGCGGGGGGCGCCAGTGCTCGGTTTGTAGGCAGTGTAATTAGCTGATTGTGCTGTAGTGCTTACAATCACTAATTCCACTGCCATCAAAACAAGGCACAGCATCGTCTCCGCCCTGCGGAGTCCGAGAGAAGGCTGAGCTGGGAGCTGTGCTGCGTCAGCGTTTGTCCGCGAGCACGTTGTTAGAGTGAGAGTAACCCAGGAAAACGGCCGCCTGCTGGCTCCAGACGCAACGAGTCCTTAGCTCTCTTCTAGGAGTCACGCTAGGAAAGCACTGGTGTATGCTGTGACTCCTTATGCTTATTTCGTACTAGTTAGTAGGGTAGTCACCAAGACAGCAACTTAGCCAATGATTTGCCCATCACCACGTATGGAGGCGCTAGCTTGCGACTGCAGTTTGTTTATTTTTTAGTCTAGTTACTAGGCAGTGTAGTTAGCTGATTGCAAATAGTACCAATCACTAACCACACAGCCAGGTAAAAAGACTGAGATTCATCCAAATGGGCCGTTTATACTATCATGTCAGTATGGGGGAGAGGGCTATTGGAATATGCTGATACTACCCTTTTCCTATTACTTGCTCAGCCAAGAGAAAACATTTAGCTGCTAAATATACAATGTATGTACTATACATGTATGTGTATTTCTTTTTCAATATTCCTTCCAGGTCTTAACCAAAAGTAATTTTTAGTTACATTAGGAGAATATAATTTTTCATTAGCTGACTGATCTGTAATAGACTTTTGGTTGTCAATCTTTGAACTATCTTTCTGTGAGACTATATTGTTAGTTATATTTTGAAAAAATAAAGTGCCATATAGACATAAATTGTGGCTATTACCATGTGTCCAGTACCTTTCAATTGGCTTCATAATCTTAATTCCTGCCACGTAATCACAATTTTTTTTTATCTCTGAAATGGTTAAATTGTACCTAGATTAAAGAAATCTCCCAGGAAAACTATTCACACACTTGTTAATGCTTTTATAAGGATACACTAACAAAATTTTTCATGAAGGAATTCCATCCACTCATTAGATATATCCTTTTAAGTAATCATTTAAAACTTTTGCACTGTAGGCAAGTTTTGATAGAAATGATTAATAAATGCAGTTATAATTTAAATCCAGCTTGTTCTAAGACTTACTGTAAAAGATTAGAGGGAGAAGGGATCAAACTATATACATGAGTACCTACAGGACCAGTTCCGGCCTCTAGCTCCTACGGGCTTCCTTGAATTCTCTGATTACAAGGCCTCAGAATGTTCACAGTATTGAGTGCTGAGCCACAGACCTGTCTGGAAAAGGAGAGTAGGGCAATGGAGCCAAGAAATTTAAAGTTTATTCAAATATCTTTTGTTGGAAGCGGGAGCAAGTGGAAAGCTGAAAAGAGGCTAAAGTGCTCCCCCGCTGAATCTGACAGGAGGCGCCAAAAGTTGTTTGGACTCGCCCATGACTACAAGGCTCAGACTCCAAGGCCAAGCGAGCACTACACCTGCTAGCACCACAGAAGTAGGTTTCAGCGTGCAGAGAACCCCAAACACCCACAGAAAAAACTAAGGGCCTCCTGTGGCGGCTGTTACCCTCCTGCTGCTTCTACCTTCTTGGAGCTGAGGGGTTGGAAGGAGGGGCAAAGGAGCTTGGAGAAGCGTCCTGAGTTGCCATGGAAACAGGGCCCAGCTCAGATCTCAGCTTCGGAACAGAGTACCAAGAAATTTACCCTCCAGGATTACTGGTGTTCACTGGCTGCTCGGAACAAGATGCCAACTTAGCTAAGCAGTTCTGGCTCAGGGCGTTGATGTATCCCACTAACGAATCTCAGTTGGTGCTGACAAGAGCGAGCAGTCAGCATCTGCCTGTTGCAGGGAGCTCTAAGAGTATTGTCTCAAGTGAGTAAAAAGTAGCTACCTCCTGGTGGTTAATTTCTATTGCATCTTAATAACCTGGAAGATACTAGATCTCCTTCCAGAATAAACTGCCCAACATAAATCTAAAAACTCAAATGTCTGAAAAGTATACATTAAGAGTAATAGCTATATGCAAATACATATACTGTATAAACAGTTCCTTAACTTTTGCAGCATTCCCCCCTGCCAAAAAAAAGCAGACTAGATATGGTATATCTAAAAGTACACTTTAAGTGTCCCTTAAATTATGGCATTTATTTGGCAAACTGTGGACTAATCTAAGAAAAATGGTATATGTTGGGACATTAAGGACAATAGTTTACATAATTGAATTAAAATTTGAAAGCCCTAGAGAAAGTTGAAGGAAAATCAACTTTAGGAACCAAGTTCATTGACTGCTAAGCCCTTAATGAGGCCTAGGATGTGAAAATAGTTATGTAATATTTGTAAGTATAGGAAATTCAAATAGCATTAATGTTATTTCTTTTCTTTACTTCCCCTTTGTACTAAGAGAAAAGTCACCTCCAGCCTTCTGCTTTTGAGAATAACAGTAAGTACCAAATTTAGTGCCTTTCAACATCTGGATTGCTAGGTTTTTCAGAAAATAGGTAATTAATACAAAGGTACAACTTTACATTTTGGCATAATATTCTGAATTGCACATATGAAACCTTGCCTCAGGGACCGAACTAGGTTATCCATAGAACAAACCCTAAATTTCTATAACAGGTTGAATACAAATGTAGAAATTAGAATCTCTGATTCTATATTTATGTTCTCTTTAGAGACATTTTCTTGTCTCTGCTGAGGCTTACTCATCATCTAAAGAGATTCAAGAGTCCCTGCAGCTATTGCTAATTCAGTTTTCAATTATTTATGAATCTGGTTATAAGATTTCATGACACAGTGTGTATTTGTTTGTACCGTCCTACACTTTTAACCATAACCCAATTTTATATCAATGCTATTATAAAATCATGATAAAATTATTTTAGATTGAGTTTGACTTTATTTCCTCTAGAGAGTGCAGATGTCATCGCTGAAGCTCTAAAGATTCAGGAATCTGAGGAGAAAGTAAAGTATCTACAAAAGGTAGGTCAATATTTCATGTCTTCTGATTTTCATTAAATTTCTAAATAATCCTAATTAATTAAAAAGTATTTATTTATAGGTGTTAAGGATATTCTTTTTAACTTAGCACATATAATATGCTATTTTTGGTGCATTAGCTTAGAAAGGCTTTTATTATAATTTTAATTAAAAATTTTAAAATTCTATTAAAGTTTGGCTAGTCTCAGTCTCTGCAAAAGGCCAAGAATGTATAGGAACATCAGAATCAAAGAGAAATGGAAAAAGATTCACACTTTTCAATAACGTCCGAACTATATATACTGTTCTAAGAACAAAAATATTGCAAGAACAGGAAAAATCAAATAGAATTGATTTGTTTTGATTGGCTAAAATCAAATGAATGGAACAAGTCTGTTATCTAGGCCTGCTTTGACTAAAGTAGCTCCATTAGTGTAGTCAAGTCAACTGAGCACACGGCTCTTTTTGGCAGTATCCCTTGTTTGCTTTCCATGCTATAGGCATGGCCTTTAACTCAGCAATTAATACAGTGATTTATAGCAACATTTTGTTTGGTTTATGGATTAAATTCTATTCCTGTAATTTTTCCTGTACTATACAAGCAAAGATAGAAGATTTGTTTTGACCTAACGTCTTTAATCACTGGATACACTGGCAAGCTCTGAAGGATGAATCAGGAATTCTACATAGATTATAGAACAATGCATTTAAATTAGCTGATCATAATAATTCACTTTGTGGATTACTAGTGATTCCTTCAAATGAATTAGGTGATTAAAAATAGCATTTTCTTTGTAGGATATTATGTACTGAAAATGTATACAAGGACTTTTTTTTTTCTTTTTCTTTTTTAGTATTGATACTAGTACTGATACTGGTACTTTTTCTTTTATGGTACTGGAGAATGAACCCAGAGGTGTTCTAACACTGCTCTGTCACAGAGGTCTTCTATCACCACCCCTTTTTAAGATAAGATCTCAGTAAGATGCCCAGGCTGGCCTTGAACTTGTGATCCTCCTCCCTCAGCCTCCCGAGTAGTTGGGATTACAGGTGTGTACCACCAAGCCCAGCTATATTTAGGACTATATATGGATTTTTGAAAATCTAATTTTCAGTGAATTAAATATCATTAAAAGTCAACTTCTTTGATGCTTTAAGAATTTAATTTTTATTGTATTTCATTATAGGATGGGATTAGATATAAAAGGTTAAAAGGAAAGTATTAATCATTTTTATCAGCTTTTGTACAGAAATAAGACAATGATATGAGTTACAGGTAGATGTGATACTAACAGACTGTGGTATTAATATTTTTAGAACCCTTAGGTCCTTCTATTAATTAACCACTCAATAATTTATTAATTTCACAGATATTATTGAAAGACTGCTGTGTGTAAGTACTAGAATCTGGAATTTAAAGATAAGATGTGGCCCCAATATCAAGGAGCATACAGTATGGTGGAGGGGACAGTTAATTAAAGTTAACAATTAAGATATACTATTATATCAGATATATGCATGTAATACTATAAGAACACACTAAATGACATCAAAATCAAGCTTAAGGAATCAAGAAACTTTCCCAAAGACACTGAGTTTTGAAGGCTATAGAGCTTGTCAGACAGAGAACATGTAAAGCAATCCTCCGGGATATCCTGTTTATCTTCTAACATCCAAATATGATTATCCTGGTCTTCTATCTTTCTTTTTCCCTCATGGCTCCCCTTTTCCTACAGGATCAAGAGGAGTTGCTCAGCATGTTTGAGTTCCTTTTCACACTGACCATAACCATACTATTCCACCAATCTCTTTCTTCCCATATGCCTTCTACACACACACACACACACACACACACACACACACACACACACACAGTATACTTGGTTCTCAACCACTTAGGCCAAAATACATGCACTATGTACTCTTTCCCATATATTCTACTGAAGTGATGCATGGGTAAACTATATTTTTGCTATATCTAAATATGTACAATATTTGCCAATTTGTACATTAAGCCAAGAGGTCCTGCAATGCAATGTAGAAGATGATTCTGTTTGCTAAGATGGTAGGTAAGAGGCCTAACAAAATAATAAGCCAGCAGGAAAGAAACAGAACATTAATTAAACTATGACTTCTGAGTATACAGGAAAAAAAATAGTACTGTATAGTACAGTTCTACTTAAATACTGCTGATAGCTTTCCTTTCTGTAACAAAATACGCAAAATATTAAGCTTAAAAAGAGGAAAGGTTCTTTGAAATCATAAAACTAATTTGCTTTTTAGTTTTGCCACCTTTAAGAAAGCTCTTTAGCTTATTATCTCCTTATGAAAAGAATTATAAATAATTCATTTGCTGAGGGAAGAAAGAAGAGGTCAAATCAATATTTTTAATGTATGTATGACATATTTGGAAACATGGTCCATCTGAATTTAATGTTTTAACTTTAGTGAATAGAAACCAAAGCTTTTTCCAAGAAAGTGTAAAATCTACAGAACAGTATCTCCAATAGACTCTTTATTGGGAATGAGGTTTTAGTCTGTCATTATACGTCCTATATAACCTATACTGACCAAATTTCTTCAAGTTTGTTATATGATACTTCCTTGAACTACAAACACATTATGTCACAATGACATTCTTAGAAGAATAATCTTAGAGGGGCCAGGGATTTAGCTCAGTGGCACAGAGCCTTCCTGGCATTCAAGTGGTCCTGAGTTCAATTCCCCAGTACCAAAAAAAAAAAAAAAATCTTAGAAGCTTCATAAAAGTGTTTTTAGGCCCTGAGGCATGAAAGTGGAAAACTTTTAAACACTGTTATCTATTATCCTATACTTTCTAAGTATTGAAAGAGATTCTGAGAACCATTATGTCAGTTTCTAAGAGCCAAAGGAAAGACATAGAGAATTAAAATTCCTCTGTGTCATTGCCAGGATGTCTGATAAAAGCAAGGCCTCTTTTGTGTCAAAATGTTAGGGATTGCTTCCAAGACAAATCTAAATTTTCCCACTAAGAGTGTTACCTAGCTTTTAGTTTTGCTATCCTGTCCTGACATAATATTTACAAAATTCCTTTTCCCCCATAAAAAGAACCCCAATAGGAAATACATTCCCCTGTGGATTCCTCCTTTAGTAACAAAGAATATTTAAATACTTAAATTATTATTGTTCCCATTTTACCAAAGTATTCAACTGGAAGAGTCATAAAAATACACTGCATTTATGTGTTAAGCAAATATTTTGATACCAAATGACAAAAGAGTATATAAATGTTTACTCTTTTTGTATCATCTGTAATACCACACTGTTTTCAAATTTTATTCAACTTGAAGAACACTTTTAAGTGACAGAGATTCCCCCTAAGTCATCTTTAGTAACATCTATAGTCCATGAAAATGTATTTGAGAGAAAAATGACATTTGGGATCAAATAGCTGTATAAATTTACCATATGTAGACCAACCCCAGAGTGATACAAGGCCATTTATCTGTGTATTTTACCATCCATACATTTCACCTTAAGAACAAAATGAAAACATTTTTAAACCTAAGGTATACTAGACAATAACCCACATTTATTATCTACTTATATCAAATATAATTAAATAAAACTATTGCATCCAATACAAAGTAAAAAAAGGGGGAAGGGTCATGTATTTTCTTTACAAAATGTAGAGCTAGTTCCAGTACAAGAAGCCTTATTCTTCAAATCAGTGAACACCTTAGCTAGATGTGTTGGCACCCTCCAATAATCCCAGTGCTTTGGGAGGCTGAGCCAAGAGGATCACAAGTTTGAGCCTAGCTTGGGTAATTTAGAGACTAAGCAAAATCGAATCTCAAAATGAATGCCCTCAGAAGCTGAGGTGATACAATCACTTCTCTGTTTGGGTTTTGACATTTACAGTTCCAATAGGTCCTGATTATACATAGATTCCATATTTACAAATTTTCCTACTAGATACAGTGTATTTGTACCCCTAAAATCAATATTTGTGGTGCTTTTGTGTTCATTTATGGACATGCACAAAGTGATAGAAAAGTCTGAGTTTCCTAACACACTGTCCAAACTGAGGTCAAATAATACCATTCCCTGCCTTCATGCTTCAACTCATACTGTAAACGAAGATCATTTGGCTGCATATTTAGTGCAGTATTTTTCGTGTGTGTGTGTGTGTGTGTGTGTGTGTGTGTGTGTGTATGTGTGCACTGTGCTGGTTAAAACTGTCTCTGAAGTGCTGCCTCATGTACCTAAGCACAAGAAGGCTGTCATGTGCCTTATGGGGAAACTGCATGCAACAGATAAGCTTTGTTCAGATATGACATGGTGCTGTTGATCATGAGTTCAATGTTGATAAATCAACAATATTTTTCAAGACAGAAACACAATAGACAAGGTTTTGTGATGCTCTGATGATGAAATTCTGTGACCAGAAGGGCAGCAGAAACCTAGAAATAATTCACTAATTCAATGTTTGTTGACTTTCTAGAACATAACTTCCACAAATAATGAGTCAACTGTACTCAAAGTATAGTTTAATATATAAAAACTTTTAATATCTGCCTCCTAACACATTTCCCCAGACTCACCTACTACCATTCCCTGTTAAGTAAATACCAGGGCCTTTTGAATCACCTATCATTCCAAGAACCCACAATGGTGTTTCATAACTGTGACATTGAACCCACAGTTTCTTCCTCCTGGAAATGCCTTTCTCCCTCTTTCTATTTGACCAATACCTACTTGTACTTCAAAACAGTTCAGCAGTTACATTTAAGCCTTTTCGCATCTTCACATATTGCCTACTCTGATACAAATGCCCCTTTCTTTGTTTTCCTATGATTCTGTGTATATTCCTCTTTCCCCAGCCCTGAAATGTAACATGGTGGTATTAATCAATATATTTCTCTTGAAGGTTCTAAGTTCCTCATGAAGAAGGACCATGACTTTTTTTTTTCACTTTATAATCACAAGAACTAGCAAACATTAGGTGATCTCATAACCTACCA